AGGGTCTCCTCTCCATATCAATCTCTTGGAGCTCCTCACAGTTCATTGGGCTTTGGTTCAATTCCTTCCAGATCTTCATGGCCAGTTGGTGATGGTGTATTCTGACAACTCGACACTGGTCTTGTACATCTCCAGGCAAGGGGGCATATGGTCAGGAGACCTCTGTTTTTTGGACACTGGATCTCCTGTATTGGGCTCATGGCCATCAAATTCTTTTGTTGGCTTGACATATTCCGGGTTCTCTGAATCTTGTCAAATATAATTTATTATGTCCTGAAAGGATTCTTCCATTGGAGTTGTCACTGGACACATGGATGTGTTGGGAGCTCTGTGCCTTGTGGGATGTTTCAGAGGTGGACACCTTTTCCACTCATCACAATTCTCAGCTCCCACAGTTTTGGTCTCCTATTTCACATTCTTTGGCTGGAGTGGTGGGTGCTCTCAGTCTGGATTGGTCTCTATGCCTACTCTCTCATTTGTCTGTTTTTTAGATCATTTCTATCATCCATACCACTCCATGTCATGTTCTGTTGGTGGCTTCATATTGGGTGGCTCATCTATGGTTTACACATATCATCATTGGTCCATCTGTCTTGGTTATCCTCTATCATCCAACCCTTTCCCACATCACTTCCTTTTTAATCTGGCTCTTTGACAAGGGTCTTTTGGTCATCTCTGTTAGGGGCTATCACATGGCATTGTCAGTCACATTTCATTTTCCTTGTTATGCCCATGTCTTCAATTCAACAGTCTTGTCTGCTTTGTTCTGTTCCTTCTGCATCACTTGTCTTCCTCTTCCTGCCTCTCTACTGGATTGGAACCACAATATTGTCCTTCATGCCCTTATCCTTCTTCCTTTTGAACCCTTTATATCCCCTCTCATTTGCTTCCTCTTGTTACCATCTAGACATCGTCATTTGGATATGTTTGCTTTTGGTGTCCATTGCACCTTGTTTCACAATTCCTATGTGGTCCTTTTCCCCAATAATTTCTTTTCTGCCCAAACATTGGCCACTCAGAAGAGTAGTTCCACCTTCACACCTATCTTCCTTCCTTCCATATCTCACTTTTATGATCTTTTTTATCCTTACTGCCACCTCTGTGTAGTCAGGGCTCTCTGCTGTTACATGGCATGCACTGAATCTTTACCAGCCCCGTGACTTTTGTAACAGATTGTATTCACTTAGTTTATTCCTTTCTTTCTCCTGATGATTTTCATCTTTTTTTGTGTATCTTCCCATCAAATTCGTCTCCTTACCATATCCCTGGCTACTCATTTCCATCATCCATTGGAGGACATCATTAGCACTGGTATGTGGACCACTCCCCATACCTTTACTGCCCATTGTCTTCACCACCTAGTTGTTTCTTCTTCTATGGGATTTCATCTTCCTCCAATTGCTATTTTGCACTCCAGGATGTCTTTTTGAGTTGGTAAGTTCTCTTTTTTTCTTCTTAATTTTCTTAGCAGGGGCTTTTGTAACATAGTTGGCTCCTGCTTAGTGGTGAATGTTGCCTGACCACATATACTTATTCTTAGATCTGCACTGGAAGACCTGTGGATCATATACACCCACAGTTGAGATTAGATGATCCACAGGACTGCTTGTAGGTATGCCTCGTGGTACTTAGCTTCATAAAGATGTTCTTCCCAGACCATACACTCATGGACTAACATGAGTAAAACAGACAGGGATTACTACCCATCCCAGATGATCCATGTATTGTAGGTCACAGGATTAGCCTGTATTTCAAAACAAGGTGTCGCGGTCACCCATTGCACTGTCCCTGGTGCATTATTTCTCCAGACTTTCCAATGCCCTGTTTTCTCCCTTCTTCCAGTGGAGTATGGGAGTCCTTACCACCTACCAGTGCCTAGTTGCTGGGTGGTGGACCATGGAGGTTTCCTACTGAGTGTGCTCAGTCCTACTCAGTTGAAAGTAGGGAGATATAGATGAGGTTGATGCTCATCCTATCATGGACCTGATGTATAATTCCAGATGCCGTCAGGTGTTGAATAATGCATTCCACCTCTTCCTACCGTGGACTGGGCCATACATTCCTATTGCTGCCTGATAATGGACTTGAGATACACCCCCACTTTGCTGTCCACCTTCCTACTGTCTCCTGGGTGTCAGTTTCTAGCAGATATTATGTTGGATGTGCTCACAGGATTAAGCTGGGGAGATCCCTCCATTGTTTCCACCCTTACTGCAACACAATTGGATGCGGGCAAAGAGTATACCTGGTTCAGAAATGGTACTGTCTCCTACAGGGGTGTTGCCTTCCATTTATTTGCATGCCCCATGGTCTTCCTTTGGGCACTTTCTAAAGTGGGATCATTTTCTCATCAGACCCTCTGCCAACTCAGTGTGGGATTCTAGCTATTTGTGAGTAGTGGTAAGATATCGTATTCTTGGTTGGTTTTGTATGTACTGCCCAATCTCGAGGGGTCCCAGGCTGCATGAAAGAGTGGGGGCTATTGACGATAGGAGTTATGTCACATTCCTATTGGTGGAGGATTGCTGTACTATCTTTTGCCTAATAGCATGCAGATGTTCCAAGTGAATACACACGAGGGTAAGTTGGAGTATCAAGGCTAGTGGCAAGCAAAACGTTGGACACATATAGAGGGCTGTATAAGTCGAGAAAAGCTATTTATGAACAGAGGTAAGTATCTATCAGAAATACATTTTCAGTTTAGAAAAATGTTAACTTTTGTATACAAAGAGGGTTTATCATATTTGATATAAGCTTACTTCAGATTCAATTTCTTTGTGTAATGAACCAAAATAATGAGAGATTTTATCTGGTTATTTCTTTTCCTTTTGTTTCTATCTTAAATTTCGCCATTTTTTTTTTCTCATACTTAAAAGATCATTAATCAGGAATCTGTTGTCTTTTTTGTTGGTGTTTCTATCGTGAATTAAAATTTAAAAAAGTTATCTAACACATACAGGTTAAAACATCATATATATATAGAACAGTATAAATAAGTTTTAACATTTATTTGTTTAGATATCCTTTTATGATAAGTTAACATTAAAGGTAAAGTGAAAAATGAAATATAGTCAGTTTGCTTGTGGTCTTGCAGATGTGTACATCTATGTGTAACAACACAATCTATATGTGTGTGTGTGTGTGTAGGACCCTTACAACAAAACATTTAGAATCTTCTCCGAACATGTTGTATATGAGAAGTCACATGTATGAAACAGAAATCAAGAAATTTTTTTTTGTAAATTTGGATATTTTTTCCAGTGTTCTTTTGATTTGCATTTACATACTGTTAGTAGAATTATTTATGGGATTTTGAGTCTCTTTTACTTCACCATATACAGCTGTTTAATGATAACATTTTAGCTCAACTATGAGTTATAGGTGCTGTTAAGGTCGTTCATCTTGCTAAAGTAATGGTTCTCCATTGCCTAGTAGTAGGCTGTACAGAGGTTTAACTTAGTTCTTGTCTAGAATTAATCTTCCACTGCATAGTGCTGTAGCTGTTCTTCTGATTGATAAGATAGCACTCAATATAAGTGTTGTACATGTATTATGTGGAGAACAGGAAACTGGTTTTACTTTTTTCATGGAACTCTGTCATGTACATGTAAGAGGTGTGACTGTCTGGCATGCATTGCTGTGTTTATTCCCGCTTTGTTGTGCATTGTATACAATGTATTTAAAGTAATTTTGTATTTGAGTGCCATGTACTGATAAAAGGATAAACTTGTATATCTAAAGTCATTTACACATGAACTTCCCAGTAAGAGGGTCAGCCTGTATCCCACTTAATACTGAGCACAATAAACATATTATTCCAACTCCAGCATGTATAGTTGTTACATCATTTGTAAATGTAAAGCTCAATGACTTTTGTTCTCATTCAACTGTGAAGTCCATGTGACATCAAACCTGTAATACAAGTATGTCTTCAGCTGTTTCGAGTAAAAAAAATCAAGAGTACAGATGTATGACAAAGTCTGTAGTTGAACTCAAATTATTATATTACAGACTTTGTTACCATGTGTGAATATTTGGAATATTTTGCTTATAGTTAATTTTTAGATTTACTAACTTATAGTAAACTGCATTACAGATAGTTCATGTAGGTAGTTAATCAACAAAACCAGGACTTGTATAACAAATATTGCATGTAGTAGATGTTAATGTTAAACATGACAATGTGAACTGTATTTAGTATAATTTAAATTTAAGCAGTAGGGTACAAAATTGAGCAGAAAATGTAGAATGCATACTGGAGGTGATAAAGTTAAGCAACAGTTGTGAAATCTACACACAACTTTTTATAAGTTGTGTACAAGATCATCAGTTCATTTGGCTAGAGAACTGAATCTTATGTAGAAAAATGAAAAATTCTTTGAGAGGAGTATTTTTGCATTGTTAACTGATTTTGATTATCATTGTATTTGTGTGATATATAAAAAGAAATGCATGTCTGACAGGTTAACTTCAATATCTCACTGATATTCAGTAAGATATTTGTAAGAAGAGTATAGGTGTTTGACCTTAAAGTCTGTGAGAAAATGATTTTAACAATGTGTTTGAATGTTTGCTATTTATTTTGTTGCACTCAACAACATTAAAGATTCTTTAGAAATACATTGTTATATTTAGAATGTTTAAGTCAAGAAAATTAGTGTGATAAAGTGTACAGTATATTGTATTTAAATCTACTTAGTGCAGGTATCAACTTTGAGTAACTATTAATTCAAGGAAGTATAATTGTTTCTGATTTTACATTTTGGTTGTCTTTCATTGGAGTCACTTTATTATAGTTAACAGACATTATAATCTTAATTTATTAAATTAGTTAACACTGTTAACAAGCTATTAAGAAAGTCTGATTTACAATGTTGAGTCAGGTAGTTTAATCATAAAATAAAACTGGTTGTAAAACGTAGGTGAGTTGCAAGTAGTATTGATTCTTTGTTATTCTTTAAAGAAAAGTTGAATTGGTTCTTATCAATTCTATTGACTAGCAAATACGAAGTGAATCTGGGAATTACAACTTCACATACAAAGATGCAAGAAAAGCAGAAAACAAAAACTTGAATCGTTACAGAGATGTAAATCCATGTGAGTAAATTAAATGTGCATTATGCTAGACTATCTAATGACTAATAATAATAATAATTTTCTTAGGTGTACAATGGTTTTCTTTTATGCTATATAATTTATCTATTTCAAAGTTTTTATATAGAATGTTCTGTATTTTAGGTGTAGGGTTGATATATAATTGCTTGTCTCTAAAATTAGTGTAGAATAGTCCAAAAATAATAGTTTAATTTTTTCTGCTCTTTTTCAACCAAAAAAAAAGGGAAAATATTGCAAACTCTATTTTTATTTTCTTTATAGTTAAATTAAGTTTGCTTAAGTTAATTACTGTTTGGTTAATGAAAACAAAGTATAATGCTAATTGTCTAGATAGAATGTAAAGAAAAAATTAAAAAATGTAAGACTAGACAAGAATAAAACTATTCCAAAACAGATTGAGATAAGTATGACAATCAAGAATTAGTTTATAGAAATAACACAAAAAATTAATCTTTAAAAACATTGAAAAGTGTGATCAGAGGGTGAGAAAAAAAATGCAGTTATTTTGTAATGTGTGTGCATATGTGTAAAGTTTTGTACTAGAAGTATTGGAACAGCACATCTTGAGTGTTGTATTCCACTTTTATGGTCCCATCATAATTTAAATTGTACATACATTTATAATTAAACACATTCAGCAATACCAGTAGAATTAGACAAGCAATGTGATGTTTAGCGGTCTGTCTTGGCTGGTCAGATCAGATTCTGAATATTATTTTTAAACATTTCATGAAGTGATTATGGATTTTTTAATTATTACCAGTGGATCAAATCCAAACTAACAAAAACAGGCATATACCGTAATACTCCCACTATTTGCAGACTTTTCCATTCAAAGCAATCAGTGAGTAGTGGAATTCATTCCCCCACATGGGAATTTTTGTTGTTCTTCACCTCAGTTTCATTGTTTAAGACATCATGGGAGTTGACATCTTCCATTCATGGCCATGTTTCAAGGCTACATCCTGTTTCTGAAATCCAGCTCCCTGTGCCCAGGCATGTGTTCACTTACAATCTTGAATTCCCTATAAAGTCATGATATCTTTCATTTCAGAATGGCTTTTAAAACTCGTGGACTGATTTTGACTGGCTGAGCCAACATTCCACATTAATACATAAAATGGTCTTCCATTCTTTTCAACTTGTAATAGATTGAAATGTCTCTGATTGTCATTTCAACAATTCCACATAAGTAACCATTCTTTGAAGTTGCATGAGCTCCTTTCCATGTGGCATGTTAACTCCATCTGGTTGACTGTGGCTACTACTGACCTATGCAGTCATTCATCATGAAATTCACATGCAAGCTCAGTGAAGATTGGTCTATTTGTGGCTAGGGTTGCAGTGTTACAGAACTTTTGATAATATAGATATGTGGTATGTGTTTCTTAGTCTAACTCTCATCACTTATTTGGATTATCAGTGACAGGTTGTAGCTTATTTTATTTTCAGATGACCATAGCCGTGTTAGACTGAGTAAAGGAGACAAAGACTATATTAATGCAAGTTTTGTAGAAATACCAGCTGCCAGACGTGCCTATATTTTAACACAGGTTAGTCACATAAGAAATATTTTTTTTAATTCTGATAGATTTTGAGCTGGGTAGGTTTTTTCTATGTGTATACCTAAAAATAATGAAAAACATGAAGATCACTTTTATATGCGGAAACATCTGTCAGCTGAGTTCTTGCACAGGTCATAAAATATAACGTTGATAAACTGAAACATCAGCACATGTAGATCTTGAAAGTCGAGTTGTTCAAAACTTGAAAATAGTGTT